TTTAATAAAAAAAGAGTTCCTCAAGTAATGCTAGTATGTCGGATTCAGTTCTCATGGTCCTTATATTGTATGTGCAAAGGTCCATTACTTTTAACCAGAGATTTTTAGTACCCTCTGCTCCAGAGCGATCCTGATCGCCGCCGTAACCAGGGCCTCCTTCGCCTCCGGGGAATGAGGGCCGTTGCTCTGTTTGTGCCCTCATAGTTTGAGTCATAGCCTTTTCTTTGTTTGTATGTTCATGGATTTTATATTGGGAGGTGGACACCCGAGTCACCCCCACCTACTGGCTTAGGTATATCTTGGTGGGAGGCGGAGTAATTTAGCCGGGATGCCACTGATAAGTCCCTCCAGAAGGGACTAAAGTGGACTTGGGAGCGATTAGGAGCAGCAAGGCACGGTCCTGCTCACTACACCAGGGTATACTCCCGTGAGCATGGGCTTGAGAAGTGTATATATGTGATTTATGTGTATGTACACCTGGTGCAGACATAATTGTTCACCCGCACATGCCCTAAGTACTACGCATATGTTCATTTTCGTGGACATGCACATGCAAGCATACACCTTTACACATGTTCCTATGCATATGGATATACGTATATACTTTTATGTTCTATGCAACTATGCACATGCACATATATACCTAACTTGTACACGCACATAGGACTATACATATATATACAAAACACACACACACACATATATACATATTCCCATACACATACATACACACATATACATATAGCCGCACATATGCTTACGCACACGTGGATGCACACATACGTTTATGAGTACGCATTAGTGTCCACTCACATATATATGTATACACCTGTGCATGCATTTCATATAGCACCTACACACATGCATACACGCATATATACATATACTTATACACATATATACGCATATACACACACATATTTATACATACATATACTTATACACATATATACGCATATACACACATTATTTTATACATACATATACATACATATGCACACACATATATATACATGCACATACAGATATATACACACACATACATATCATGTGTACATATATATATATATATATATATATATATATATATATATATATATATATATATATATATACATACACACATACATACATGCATATATACATACACATACATATACATACACATACATATATATATATATATATATATATATATATATATATATATATATATATATATATAATATATATATATAATATATATAAATTATATATATATATATATATACATATATACATACACACACATATGTATATATATGTATATATATATATATATATATATATTATATATAATATATATATATATATATATATATTATATATATATATACTCTCTCTCTCTCTCTCTCTCTCTCTCTCTCTCTCTCTCTCTCTCTCTCTCTCTCTCTCTCTCTCTCTCTCTCTCTCTCTCTCTCTCTCTCTCTCTCTCTCTCTCTCTCTCTCTCTCTCCTATCTCTCTCTCTTCTCCTCTCCTTCCCTCTCCCTCTCCCTCTCCCTCTCCCCTCCCTTCCCCTTCCCTTTCCCTTTCCATCTCCATCTCCATCTTCCATCTCCCTCCCTCTCTCTCTCCCTCTCCCTCTCCCTCCTCTCCCTCTCTCTCTCTCTCTCCTCTCCCTCTCCCTCCCTTCCCTTTCCCTTTCCCTTCCCCTTTCCATCTCCTCTCTCTCTCTCCCTCTCTCTCTCTCCTCTCGCTCTCTCCCTCTCCCTCCCCTCTCCCTCTCCCTCTCCCTTCCCTTCCCCTTCCCCTTTCCATCTCCTTCTCCCTCTCTCTCTCCCTCTCCCTCTCCCTCCCCTTCCCTTCCCTTCCCTTTCCCTTCCCCTTCCCCTTTCCATCTCCTTCTCCCCTCTCTTCTCTTCCCTCTCCCTCTCTCTCGCTCTCTCCCCCTCCCTTCCTCTGCAGTGCAACATACTTTCGGATCTGGTCGTAGAGCCACGAGGGGAAGGAGTCGTGGTTCGGCAGCATCGGCATTTCGTCGGGGTCGAAGTGGGAGATGAAGCGGTACTCGTGCATGTGTCGAAGGAGGCAGTCCGTGAAGTATATGTTTTCCATCCCGAAGAGTTTTGACCGCTCCAGCAAAACCCACAGCCTTGAATAGGTCGAGAGAACAATAGATTCACTCGTATCTATTCGATTTATCAAGGTCAGAGATGGGCGGGACAGGATACCATAAGTAATTAAACTTATTAAAGATAATAATAATATTATAAAAAAAAGTGGTAAGATCGGTCACCTTCGGACATTTGGTTCGTTGGCATAAGGTACTGGGTATGAGAATTTTGTAACACCAACAAAGCCGTCTGCCTCGTAGTACCGCAGGACCTTCTCTATGTTGGGGTGGACGCTGGTCTCAAGCAGGAACACCTTCGCGACGCCCTGGGCCCTCAGCAGCTCCAGCCATTCGACCAAGCTGATGGAGATGTCGTCGTGGTAGTAGAAGAGCGCCGGCCCGCACAC